TAATTAATATAATAGTTTATTAACTTATTAATATTATTAATGTTAATACCTAATTAATATCTGTAATGTGAAATCTCTAAATACTGGGTGCAATGTTCTACATACACACATCAAAGATCAACCTTGTTAATTGTGTGGTTCAAATGTACTATTGTCTGCTTCGTTTCTTAACTACTGGGAGAAGTAAGTTAAAATCTCTGTGATGACAGATTTGTTATTCTTGTTGTTGTTGATTCTTGCTTTATACATTTTTACGCTTTGTCTGCAACAGTTCTTAAGTATTCAAGTGGGTATACGTTATTCATCGGCATGCTGCTTGGCAGCTGTGTTTGATGATGTTTCAACAGAAAGCCTGCAAAAGCTCCTCAAAAGGTAGAGACGGAGCCTTCCAATATTTTGAAATCCTCTTAATTCAGAGCTCTGAACATTGTAGGCATCAAACCTGAGAACAAATAATCAGAACACCACTCACCCACTCTTTCCTTTAACCAGCTGCCTCTCTCACTACGAAACAGCAAAAGAAGTACGTTGTGAATTCCTTCCGGGTTACAGGCGGCCACTGAATGGAGAGGCCAGGTAGTTATTTGCAAAGCTGAGTTAAAGGATTTGCCCTGTTTGAACACTGCATCCGGGCCCTGAGTTCCTGTCCAGAACCCTTAAAAAAGGATGAGCTTGCTAGGATTTAGCCAACCATTGGGTCATCGCCCACTTCTGGTGTTTTGGGAGGTGTCTCTGACTTTGAGCTGCAATCAGGTCTTGGGAGCTAGGGGTGTTGCATGACATCTTCCAGTTGAAGATCAAGACTTTGGCAGAGAAGAGAGGAGGTGAGATGTGACTAGACGGCATCACTTCCCATGGTGTTAGACAAGTTTGGGCCAGGTCCAGCCACACTACAGAGAAGAGCTCCCGGCTGGGGGCATGAGCGTCTCTCAAGAACTAGTCAGAACACTGGTAGAACCACAGGGTCCCAGAAGAGAAGGAGCAGGAAGAGGCAGGCCTCTGCCAGGGGATGGAAGGTAATGGGATGTTAATTGGAGAGATGAATGGAGAGATGGCCTAACCACTGACCTCTCCCAAGTGTGGTCAAGTGCCTATTAAGGAGATTGACCTTTAACAAGAATGAGACCTCCATCCCTCTCCAGCGGAGACCGAGCCTGCAAATGCCCAGAGATGCTGCAGATCTTTCCATGCAGGCACACCAAGGGAGAGCAACGAGGGAAGTTCTCCGGCCTGGCTTGGCTGAGGGTCCAGCAGGTTTGCCCACGGGCTCTGGGGAGCAGGTACCAGAAGACTAGACACTGGCAACGGTCATTAGGATTTTCAAAGGGATGAGGAGTAGATGCTTAAACAGAAGGCTTGTGTGCTTTTAACAAAGGAAGTGGCAATTTCCAAGAACCAACATGAGCTGGGTCAAATGAAGCAAACTGTAAAACTGGTCTCATTTTCTTCTGTGATAATAGGATTCATATTGTGTGGAAGGAGAAGAGAGCATTTTTAAGCACCTTCCATGTGCTAGCCACTATGCTAGAAGATTTCCATCATCTCATTTACTGTTACAACCACCTTGAGAACACTGACGCACAGAGTTGTCACTTGCCAAAAGGCATGCCACTTGAGAAGGCAGGATATGGACGTGGAGCTGTTTGAAGACAAAACCTGGGTAAATTTCACTAAATCTTGTTGATTCCTCTCAAAGGGTGCTTAAAAAAAAAGAGAGAGAGAGAGGAGCAAATATTAAGCCTGAAGACTTAAGGAGGGGTATGAGAAAGTATGAAAGACCAAGGGTCTGCCTCGGGGAAACAAGATCAGAAATCCAGTGTTAGCTCCACCAGTGTGAAGCAGAATCAACAGGTGGAAGCTAAAAGGAAGCAGGTTTCAATCTATTAAGCATGTTCTCACACTTGGAACTGCTCAAGATGGAATGTGCCGAATAGCCTTTATTAAGGAATTGGTTAACTAAATTATGCCATATTAATATAGCCAGCTCCTAAAAATTATATCCAAGAATCTAAGTATATGGAGAAATGTCCAGTATAAAAAGTGAAAAAGAGAGGATAAAGAATCATGAACACGATTCCATTTATATATGTCCAGAACAGGCAAATCTGTAGAGACAGAAAGTAGATTACTGGTTGCCTAGGAGAATGGGGAGTGACTACTAACGGGTACAGTATTTTTTTGGGGTGATGAAAACGTTCTAAAATTAGATAGTGTTGAAGGTTGCACAACCTTGTGTATATTAAAAACCACTAAATGTACACTTTAAAAGGGTATGCATTTCATGGTACATGAATTGTGTCTCAAGAAAGAGTATAAGGAATAAAAAGATTATAATATATATGTATATATACATGTGATTATATATAATAAAGAATATTATGCTTAATTTAAAAAAACATCCATACAGATTCCAATTTTACCAACTATATCTCTGCATCTATCTGGTTATAAAAAATTCTGGAAGGAAATATAAAGTGTTAACTATATTTTATAAGAGTAGTGGGGTCATTTGATATCACAAATTTTATACAATAAACAGCATTTCTTTTAGAAGCAGAAAAATACTTTTGTAAAAATGGGACTGGGCTGCCTGGTGAGGTAATGAGCTTGTTGTCATGGGAAGTTTTCCAAAAGGTTTGAGAATCACCAGATATGGGTACTTGCACTGGGAAGGAGTTTGACCCACTATATATGACTGAGTCCTTTTAACTAAGATGATATCATTTTATAATTACTTTCTCATTTATTTTCTTTTTTTTTTAATAATCCATTATCTCATACCTTGACTGGTACCAGTATGTATGGGGAAAAAGAATCCATCTTTCACGTAAAACAGAGTAACTAAAATAGAAAAATCACATTTGAAGGGTATACTAAGACTCAAAAAGGGAAAGAAAACTATTTTAAAAGCCAACTGTATACGCTTACCAGTAGCTAGGATAAAAAGCTTATGTTGTAACAAAATATTTAAGAAATTATCTTACTAGAGGAGGAGCCTCCAGATTTTCCCTTTCAGCTTTGTAAAAGGGAAAATAAAACTTGAAAATGTGGCATTGGAAATACTATCTGAATGTGTAAATACACACTCACTCCAAGGGTGGCTGACACACAGGCAGGACATAACTCTTCTGAGGGAAGCTGCCAATTTTTTTTTAACCCAAGTTCGGAGATTGTTGACCATGTGATGGGAGAGCCAGCCAGCTCCTCGGCTCCAGCCAGCTCTCCCGTGGGTGCCGGAGCATGCGCTGACTCCTCCCACTCCCTGGCAGAGGGCTGAGAGCAGTGGGAGAGGAGGTGCACCAAGCTATAAAAAACTTTAAGTTTTATTTCCTTCTAAGGCGTCCTGAGTCACTGGATGCTCCAGCCCCCAAGGCCTGGGGAAGTTCAGCTCAAATCGGAAATGTGTATGTGTGTTTTTTTCCTGAGCCAAAGCCGCTGAAAAACCAGATGACGTTGTCACTTGGACTGAATCTGTCTTGCGGGCCTGGTGGTAGCTTCCTACTTCCGTCCTGGGAGGAGGATGGAAGTCACTTAATGATTAGTTTCTCTGACCCACGTTCCAAGATTACATCACAGTCTTAACACTAAGATTACCCTCCACTCCACCCCCAACATGGAGCTGCTGAGACTTTAAAAACCCCATTTGTCAGCTCAAAGCATACGGCACTGCCACACTACTTTGCCTCCCACCCTTTAGGCTGCAGTTTCAATTTAAACACCAAGTGATGCCAAGCCAGGTTGGTCAGAATCCTAGAAAGCCACAGGTAGAAGGTACCTAGTCCAATAACCTTGTTTTACCAAGGAGGAAACCACGGCCCAAAGAAGGTAACGAACCCGCCCAAGGCTACAGAGGGACAGAACCAAAACTAGGAGACAGGCCTAAAGTCTCAGAGAAGAGGGCTCTGTCCCCACAGTGGTGTGCACATCCTTGCAGTCCCAGCCCCTGTATACAGGAGGGGCTATAAGCTCCCTGGAGATGTGTCTCAAGCCTGTGGCCAAAGAAGGCCCTTACCCTTTGATGGTTCCTCTTTTCAGCCTTCTCACTGCTTCTGTGCAAAGTGGAAAGGAAACGGGCAGAGCAGCTTGGAAAAGCTCCTTCTGGAAAGAGGTGGCAGCCAGGAGGTGGCCTTTCCTGCTTGAGAACCTCATCTAGGAACCAGGGTCTGGGACAGCGCTAACCTTCTACTCCAAGGCTCCGAATGGAAGATGCATCCCACCTGGTTTTCCTCAGCTGCCCTGCTCTTGACATGGGCAGAGAGGTATGTGCTTATGTAATTTAAAATTCCCACCTAATTTTTTAAATGTGTTTCTTTTCCCAACTCCTAGAGACTTGCATTAACACTGAGGCTACAGGGAAATTAATCTTTTCATGGTGTACATTTTCTGCATAAAGCAAGCCTGGATACACTAATAGGCCAAGAGATTGTGTTAATATGTCAGCTATTAACACCCAAACTACTTATAGCTCGAGCGAGGCTGGTAGTGGGATGTGTTTGTGGTAGTTCTGGTCCCTCACGCTCATGACTGTGCTAGAGCCTAGGTGGAATTACATCCGAGGGCAGGTATCTTGTTCATTGAGCAAAATGGGTTAAAAGCTACCCAAGCTAAAAACCTACACAATTCGCAGTTAGAGATGAAAGGCTGCAGAAATGTTTATTGAATACAGTGCCAGGTTTATAAATAAAACTTATTTACAATTTCCATAGAGTTGGTCCCCCATCAGAGAGGTGGTTAAATCTCCAAACAGTTTATCTCAAGATTTACAGAAACGTTCAAGTACATCTCCTTTTCAAATCACCACGGTGAAGGGTCACTTCAGTAACAAAAGAACCGCCACCATCTTTGCTACAGACGTGTTTAATGAACAGTATAATAGATCTGGAGAAAGAACACACACTCCACCCATGCCACTACCTTCTTACTCCAAGGGATGCAGACAGCAAAGAATTTCTGTCTCCTACAGGACAACTTCAAGGGATTAAAAAAGAAAATAACTGCCAGCTGGAGGGATAGATTAAGACGCATTCGTGGAAATCTAGTCACTGCCAAAAGGATAAATGTATTTAGGATATACATTAATTCAGATGTTTAAAATAATTGAACAAAGAGCAGACTTGACCAAATTTACATTCTTTGTTTAGGAAGAAGTTCCCAGTATACTGAGGGGCCAATAATACACTGCTACTCTGATGGGCCACAGTGGCACTAGGCCTACTGGACAGCCACTCGTTACTATGTGGTTACAAGTACAATCAGACATGCATTTATAAAGAGAATATAAAAATATGTACAGTAGCTAATTTTCAACGTGTTTAAGTTGCCGAAAGACACCAATTAAAGTGTGCAAAAATTCATTTGTCAAAAAATCAGAAAAAGCCTTCCTTGGCAACAGTGCTTCAAGAGCCCATTTGAAACACCAGGATACATTTGTCTTACTCAACATCTACCCCAAACAGATGGAGAACAAAACTAGGAAAAGTGTTTGCCAAGTACTCAGCAGTTTTTTATGGCAAGTCAAGCAGGATGCCAGTTAAACTAATCACTTTATATATATAAATATATGTATATATTTATAGAGCAGTTAGAAGTAGGGGCACGAGTTTACAGGAAGGTGCTAACCAACCGAAGAGTACTGCCCTGCCACAGCATCCACCATTTCCTCCCACAAACTCACACGGACACCTGGCCCCCGGGCTGGTCGTCCCCTCAAAGGCCAGAGGAAAAGGCCACAGTGGAATCGACTTCACCTCTGCACCAAACTGGAACTCAGCATTCCCGGGAGGAAAGGTTTCTGGTTCCCATGCAGGATCCTGGCCACACAAGAATCTGGTTTCAAAGGTAGTCTTTTAGGAAAGACTGTGGGACCACTAAAGTGGAGTCCACTCAGCTTCTAGAAAAAGACTTGGTGAGAGGGTAAGATAGAAGGCAGCTTTCAAAAACAAGTCAAATCACCCCCAACCCTCTTTGAAACTACCAGAAGGTCCTCAGCCGCAGGCCTGAGACTGGGTCAACAGTCAGGCAACTTGACTTCCCTGTAAGAAACATCCAGGTCGTTAACTTATTTTAACCAGGTGCCCTCAGTCCTCCCTATCTCACAGGAAGAACCCCCAAGGTACCCTTAGGTGTTCCTTCCAGACTCAGGGAATTATGAAAACCAACCCTAGCTCATGACGTCAACCTCTCTTCTACCAACCACCCGGCCCAAGGGCCAGCAGCAGAGGCGGATGGGCGGGCTCCTCTCCACTGCTCTGACCCACCCCTCTGGCAGGAAATCCATCAAGCTGCAAAATGCCAGAAAGACAGGGAGTAGGAGAGGGAGAAGCCAAGGGTCTCTATAAATCAGCCCTGAATGCACCCATTTGGCTGCCAAGAGCTTCTTGCTGCTTCGCTAGCAACCTGCCACTGTTCCCTGGCAAATTAAAACCTCCCACACAAACACTCAGAACCCAAATCTCCTTGCTAGTAAGATAAAACCAGTTAACACCCTGAAAGATGCACATCCAGCCTTCACTTCAGAGAGTTCCGCACTAAACGCAATATGCCTGCAAGGGGGCTTTTTAAGTGGACCAATCCCACTGCAAAGACCAGTACCAGGATCTCTTAGTTTGGGTTACAGGTTTATAATCAGACAACTCCCTCTGGGCTGGAGTTTTACTTTCAAGCTAGGGGCTAGCATTAGTTCCACTTAGAGGAAGAAAGCAACGTCAAGTCAACTTAAAAAAGGTAAAAGGAGGCTAAGGTAAATAAAATCATAAATTAAAAATCGTGAATCAAAGAGTGAGTGGTAGTGTCTTCTAGGCATGAAGAGACTGGCTTAGAAAAGTGACTACTGCTTCTACCACACACAGCGAGGATTGAATTACAGACACACTAAATCATGTCTCTTGCACAGATGGTCTCAAGTAGTTACATAAAACAGGTAATCAGCAGCACGACTGAGAAGAACCCCTAAATACATGCTTGAGAGAAAGTGGTTTTTTTCCTTCATTAAGAGCTCTACTGCCTGAATAATCATTAAGTTACCAAGAGTCACCCCCCACCACCCCCCACCCCGGTGAAAACACAAGTAGACCTACATGTCCAGAGATATGATGAAGCAATTATTATCTGCTTGGTTTTAGGCAAGGTCTCAGGCTCAGAGGTTGGTGCTAGGATATCAGGAGGGAGGGAGGGAAACCCAATGCTGGGCTGTGGGCATTTAAAGGCGCACTGGCCTCCCCTCTGACTTCCTTGTCCCCGTTTAGATCTCAGCTTTACAAAGCATTTAACACCACTTTAAGTTAATGGTCTTTTTATTGGAAAAAAAAAAAAAAAAAAAGACTAGCATTTACAACTTGGAATGGACGTAAATTGTAATTTCTTGAACAGCAATGTTGATGGTTGTGCTGAAGTCCACAGCCACAGCCTACTCTGCTGGCTCCAAGTCATGGTTCAGAAGGTTTTAAAAACAGAGAGTCCAAAGATGCTCCCTTGGTAAAAGTTTGTTTTTAAAAATTTGTGTGAACAGTGACAGCCTGACACCCACTTCGCTCTAGTGCAATGCAGACAATGCTAAACCAAAACACACAGGCATGCCACCAGGGTGTCATCGTCACCACGGGTCAGGGCACACGGAAGTACAAGAGGACCATCCTGCTAGTGGGGCTCTGTCTAGACAGTTTATCCTTCACCCATTTTTCTGCACAGCATCCTGAGGTAAACCAATTTTAAATATGTCTGTTTTCAGTAAACCAGCTATGACGATTTATACTAACACATTGAACTAGAACCCATTTGAATAGGTTTTGAATTTGTTTTTTCGTTTTTCTTGTTTTAATACAAATGCCTGACTCTGCTCAATTGTCAAGCTGCATGCATGAAAAACCGGCCAGCCCAAACAGTGTATTACTTATTAGCAAATGGACCTGCAAGGAGTCCACCAAGTGCTTCCTTATCGTTAAGGTAGTACAAGGAGTTATATCGTAAAACTGATGTGTAGCTTCATCTTTAGGGGACAGGACCACCAACCAATACATGCAGATTTTTTGTGTGTGTGGACAGAAGGTACTTTTGACATTCAGTCTTGCTATATAGAAACAGAATGAGTAAATGAATTTTTTTTTTTTTTGCAAGAGGTAAGTAAAAGATTCAATTTGATTCTTCTAGAGGGGGGAAAAGGAGTTGAAAGTAGGTCTTCATTTTGCAGTCATCATCTGTACGAATTCTGTAAAGACAAATAATCATAACTTTTGGTTACGTTCAAAAGCAGCTTTAACGAACACAACATCTCTACTCTGCATTAAAAAAAAAAAAAAAAATCAGTGAAGGTCTAGTGAAACAGTTCTTTATGGAGCCTAAACGGAAGACTATTAAAAACTAAGCTAAAGAAACGTCATGTTTACCTTCATAGTTGACTTGTCCATCTCCATCAATATCTGCTTCTCTGATCATTTCATCTACTTCTTCATCTGTTAGTTTTTCTCCTAAGTTTGTCATGACGTGACGTAGTTCTGCCGCACTGATGTAACCATTGCCATCCTGTGAAGGGTCAGCAATTGTTACTGATAGAGGTTGATGGGGGTTCAGTGTGGGCAAGGTCTCTGACTTAATTATGCCCTCTCAAGTTACTGCCAACTCTGGACATTGACAATCCTCCCATCTCCAGTTCCCACTTCTACCTACTAAATACATGCAGTCAGTGAATGCGAAAAAGGCAGGGGCTCTTCAAAATTTAACAGAAATTGAAAGTAACAATCAAGAAACTTGGTTCAAAATTTCTCTACTACAGTCATGTGTCACATAACGGCATTTCGGTCAACGACAGATCGCATGTCTAATGATGGGCCCATTAAGACTAGTACCACAGGGCCGGCCCCGTGGCTTAGCGGTTAAGTGCGTGTGCTCCGCTGCTGGCGGCCCGGGTTCGGATCCCGGGCGCGCACCGATGCACCGCTTCTCTGGCCATGCTGAGGCCGCGTCCCACATACAGCAACTAGAAGGATGTGCAGGTATGACATGCAGCTATCTACTGGGGCTTGGGGGGTGGGGAAGACTAGTACCATAAAGCCTAGGTGCATATAGGCTATACCATCTAGGTTTGTGTAAGTACACTCCATGATGTTCACACAACCACGAAATCGCCTAACGACCCATTTCTCAGAACACATCCCTGTCGTTAAGCGGCGTGTGACTGTATGTACTATGCTTACCCCCCGCCAATAAAGTTACCGCAATTAAGTCAGGATATTTAAAAGTGAGATTACAGAGGCTCAGGCAGTTAAGTGTTCTAACCAGAACAGACTGTCAAAACTTTTAAAAATGATAGCAAAAAAGCCATATTTAAGTACTGTCTGCAACGTAGACACAAGATTACCTTATCAAAGACTCGGAATGCCTCGCGGATTTCTTCTTCACTGTCTGTATCTTTCATTTTTCTAGCCATCATAGTCAAAAATTCTGGGAAGTCAATGGTGCCATTACCTCAAATTAAAAAACAAAAAGCTCACGTAAAATAAGCACTCCAGGAACGCTCTTCTGCGGTGATAATTTTAGAACTACTTTATAGAATGGTAAGCACTTGCTAGGACAAACTGGTAAATTATTTCATTAGATTCAACCACTTGTGGGTCTAAACTGTTCACATACTTCACATGTAATTTCACATGATTCACATAATTCAAACTAGTAATGAGTACCCTGGATAGCATTTAATGATGCCAAGGGAACTGCACATATGGATTCCTGACCACGGAAGGGGGCTGTATAGTTCCAGAGGGAAAAAAGCACACAGCACCACAGGCTGACTCTTTCCACTCCCAAGGGAAGCATTTGAGACTGCCTTCCCCTGAGTTAGGGACAGCAGTCAGCTCTAACTCCGGTTAGTGATGCTAATAAAGGCCCATAATTGGGCCACCAGGAGTACAAAATGTTTTTAGGGAAGAAAAGGATTATGAGAGGGGAAAAACTGACTTTGTTATGCCAGGAACCATAAAGTGTTAGAAAGTCTTCTCCAGGAGGCATTTCTCAGTCACATTATGATGATAAGTCACCCAATCATTTTCTTCCCAACTCAGCATCTTTATCTCCCATTAAGGGCAAGGGTCAGAAGTGTTTTCACAGCTTAGATCATTAACATTTAGGACACTGTGTCAGAAGAAGCTGTTCTATGGCCAGTATTCCAAACAACTCCTCCTCTAAAACTAAGAGTTAGATGAACACCCCAAAGACAAGCCACCAGATTAATAGTGTAACTTGAATTAAATGGAAATGAAATTAAATTAGAAGAAAAAAGCCTTAGGTTAAGTCACTCATTTTCACCAGTACCTTTAAATCAAAATAATTCAGAGATCTTTTCAAGTTCTTTTGGCCTCCAAAAGTTTAAATTATTTAAAGTGCTATCTCATAGCCATACAGAGATAATGGCCTTAGGCACCATCATACTTATTCATTGGAAATACTAGATTCTGAAGCCTGAGACAACTTCTCCCCGCCTATCCCACACAATCTGAGGGGACCAGTCCATTTCCCAGGGTTTACAAAACACAGGAGGGAGCCACTCCACGTTCCCAGATGGCTGATCCTCTTAGCAGTCAAACTAGAGAGAACCTTTTTCCAAACAATATTAAGGATGAAAACAGTCTTTAGAAGTAGCTCAGATGGGCTGAAATGATTGTTAAAATGCCTATCCAAAACCATTGCTTCTAAATGTATGTGACCAAACAAGTGTAATTCTGCTCTATCACCTTAAGATATCATATTTTTTTAAATGGCTACTAATCAAGGCAATCATCTAGAAAGCTGGAGTCTAGATCCAAATTGTTTCTTAGTTCCTCTTTTAAAAATTTACTCTGTTCTACAATGTTCTGTAGTACACATATATGGGTCCCAAAAATAAGGGGTTTTTTTGGGCGGGAGGAGAGCGAGTGCTCAAAAACTGTTTACTAATAGAAGTGAGCAATGAAAGGTCTGTTGTCCAGTGTTCTGGAGTCCCAGAGGAAGAGATGACCGAGTGGTGACCAACTGCTACAGGGGTTACTGCTCGTTCCTTGTGGCTCTGCACCTTATACATCTTCCCTTTCTGTTAGGTTCTGTAAACCTACTCCCTACAGTCATCATGCAGCCTGCCTCGAAGCCTCACATGATCCTCAAAATTCTCTTCAATAAACACACCTACAGCTCACACTGTCCTCAATTCTACATTACCGTCTAAGAGTGCTCTTCTCCCACTTTGCGTGGGGTTTTTCTCCTCCTCTTAGAGACAATAAGCTTTTCAAAAAGATCTACGGCTACGTATCTTTACTTCCCCCACAGGACTCAGTGCAGACTCATGTGACAGTTGATAAATTGAGCTGTAGGTCACGGCATGTAGAAAAGAACAATACGGTGATCCGATCCAAGAAATGTTCTAGACGGTAAGCAGGGCAAAAGGTAGGCCCATAATCTTCTATTTTAATTGTCAATGGCCGTAAGGCAACCACAGAAAGGAGCTTTGCACATTTGCTTTGCTCTGGGGACCTGAAAGACAATCCTGTAACATGTCTGAACTTGAATTACACAACACTGGCGCTCATTCAGTGTTCTAACAGCCTTACCATCAGCGTCCACTTCGTTGATCATATCCTGCAATTCGGCTTCTGTTGGGTTCTGACCCAGTGACCTCATGACAGTTCCAAGTTCCTTTGTTGTGATGGTGCCATCTCCATCTTTGTCGAATAGGGAGAAAGCTTCCTTGAATTCTGAAAACAAAAGTTTACCTTTCAGAATGAATGTCTTTACGCAACCCAGCCACAGCACACACTTCCCTTGGGCTTGCCAAAGCAAGCCGTCCAAGTTGTGCAAGTTATCAGAAACTGCCTGGCCTTTATCTACTGAAATAAATATCACAAGAGTCCTGTTGGACTGGCCTTCATACAGCAGTCCATAGAGCAAACATTGCTCCATAAAAACCACAATATTCTCATATTTTTACATGCTTAAATTAGTCCTAAGTCCAATGTAACAAGTGAAGGTTGGTCCACGTGTTCCCTTAAGGTCCCTTCCTGTTAAATTTCTATAGCTATAAGAACTCCTTGTTTCATAGCAACATGAAAAGGTTACTAGAAATGTACATTCCCAGGTAACCAGTGTGTTCTCTCTATATGGCTTTCAGAATATTTCAAATACATTTCTGGTTTCCTAAAAAGAAACCATCTCAAATAAGGGGAATATTAAAAGCTAAAATCTAAACTAACATTACTTCCTTCCCAATTATTATAGTGGTCCTAACACTCATTTTCACCCATTCCCATCTATTTTAGAACAGCACGCACAAGCTCTCATTGTGAATTACTGAAAGACCTGTGGCATAAGAATTCTAAACTACATTTTTGAGTAGCAGGCTCCATGCAATCTCATTATATGCAAAGCCTCGTACACCGTGAAGCACAAATACTCCAGAGTGAAACAAGCAGGTATTCTTAGTTCCATTTCCTTTCGCATTATCTCTAAAATACTGCCAAGGAGTAACACTTGACCTACATATATCTGCTTATTATTTTCACTTAAATAAATTCTTAGAGAACTGCTCAGATTCTAGGAGGGAGGGGACAGAAGAGTCACCAAAACCAAGTCATGCCCAGTTCTAGACTACTGGAACTCCCTGAAGTCGTCAACTTACCAGCGATCTGTTCTTCGGTCAGCTGATCAGCCTACATGAAAAAAAGGTTATATATCAATCCACAGGGGTTTGAGGTCAACACAGTTCTTCCAAATACACCTTTAACAGTGATCTTTCAAATATCAATCTTAAAAAAAAATTGACGTTTGAAAACCTTAGCATTGGCATTTAATGAAAACAATTAGAATAAAGGGAACCCTTTATGCTATTTTAAAAACAAAGGATGACAGGGAAAAGATAACATCTCGCTTCAGGTTTTCTTTTCTGGGCCTACAGCTGTGTGCTCCGAGGTCTAACTAGAAAGGGTCCGTTCATAATTTGAGAAACGGCGCCCCTAGCGGCAAAAGGCCCCACAGCATCTGCTGTAGCCACGGGCTCTGAGAAAGAAGAGCGCCACCTACTGCACCAGGGCCGCCGCAGTCCCCGCCTCCATCCAAGAAGGGCCCCAGCCTGACGCTGCTGTCACCGCAGCCAGGATCTCGGCCAGGGGCAAGCTTTTAGCGCACCTTGCGCATTGCTGCGGGCGCCCCAAATCTCCAAACTGGCGTTACATGATGACACTGGGTTGGATTAACAGGCTTTTACGCCTATTTTATGAGATACAAGTGAAAAAAATAAATATACAGCAGTGGGTTACCCTACCAACTTCATTTCCATGTAATAAACGCTTTCCAATCATTTAAATCAGGCAGTTATTGGTTAAAAGCCTACCATTTACAATAGCTAATGCCTTCGGTCAAATTATCCCACGATTCAGAAGCCAGAAAAAAATGAAACTGTCCTACAACTGAGTTGTTACAAAAAACTGCAAAAATTAAGTACACAGAAAACTACACAATTATGAGACTATACCCTCTCTTTTCTAGAAAGGAGAAACTATTAACTTCGCTGGAGGATATTCACTCTACCCACCTTAAGGATAACATAAAAGCGGCTCACAATAAACAGACTCTACTCGAGGTGGTAATGGCCACGAGGTAATTCTCACTTGCATTATTTGGTCTCTGCAACACCGAACCTGTGCCCCCAGCCAGGGGAATTTCAGATCTCAGAGAGAGCTAAAATGTGTTTTTATTTTAATGAAGGACACCTAATGAAGCCAGTTATGAAATAAGTCCTACTAGACAGCTGACGGTGTTGAGTTTATTCTAACTCTTAAATCAAAACTTTCACAATAGGAATGGTGTTCCAATACACTGATTTCGGGTGGAGGGGCGACGACTTAGTTTTTCAAATTAGAACTGGGTCTCCCTTTCTACCCAGTCACTCCAAGTTGGTTTTCTGTATATCGAATGAAGGAGACACGATGATTTATGTAACGCCAGGGCAACGTCTGTCTTGTACAACAGGAAGCGCTGCCACACCTCGCACGAGAAGCTGTCACCTTACTGGGTAGAACAGTCCCATCTCGCCACAAAACTCTCGTGTTAGAGGGGTTATCGAGAGCATCAGCATTCCTCGACAAAGAAACGCACCGTACGCCACCCCTCCCCCCGAAATATTGCTGGCCGTGGGGGCAAAGGTGCTCTGAACCTGCCAGGAGCCGTCTCCCCACCCCGCCAAACCAGCAAACGCGGTGGCTGATGTCAGCCCTGGCCGCCGAGGAAGGGGGCTGTGGAAAACACACCCAGCGAGGCTCTCAGGCGCACCTGGCAATCTAGAAGCTGCAGAGAAACCGAAAACGTGGAGGGCATCTCCCTACAGACTAGGAAGTGGCGCGGAGCGGGGAAAACGCCGAGCGAGGGGCCAGGCGGGGGTGCGTGCCCCAAGGGCAGGCGGGGTGCAGGGGGACAGGGTGGCTCCGGGGCGGGAGTGGGGGCCCCGCCCCTGCCAGGCCAGAGCGACCCCCCACTCCGGGGCCGCGCGGCGGGTAGGGACCAAGCCCGCCTCGCGCCTCCCACCCGCTTCTGCTCCCCCAGGCGGCGAGCCCGCCGCGCCGCCAGCGCCTCCTCCCGGGGCAGAAACTTCGCGTCTCTAATGGAAACCGAGCCGCGCGCCAGCTCCCTCCTCCCCCCCACCCCGCCGCCCCAATTAGCGCGAGGCGAACGCCTCCCGCGGGAAGGGACCTGCCGGGGTACCGAGGCTCACGCACGCCTTTACTGCCGCACCGGGTGGGGGGCTGCAGGAGTGCGAGACAGGGAGACACGAGCCCCGGCCACACCGCAGGGCCCCACCCGGGCGCAGGGCGGCCGGCCCGCCGCTTCCGCCCTCTCCGCCCCCCACCCCTCGCCTTCCTGCCCCCACCCCACCCTTCCCCGGCTCCTTCCTTCCCAGCCCACGCCCGCGCCGCGCCCCCCGGGAGGGAGGAGGGGAGAGCGGCTGAGAGAGCGCGCCCAACGGGGTCGACTGGAAGGGGTGCGGACGCCGACGGCGCCCCCCACGCCCCAGCCGGAGTAATGTGCGCCACCGGCTCGCTCCGACCCATTCATTCTCCGCCGCCCGCCCGACCCGCCGCCTTCGTGCCCGCGGAGGGGGGGCGTCTAACGCCCAGCCCCGCCCGGCTCCCCCGCCCCCCGCCGCCCCGACTCAGGCGCAGCGCTGCGGGCAGCCCGGGTGCGGCGCGCTGGATGCAGTGGTGCGGGGCTGGGGGAGGGGGTGGATGCGGAAGGGCCCGGTGCGGCTGCGGCCGGAGCCCCTGCCCGCGGTCAAGCCCACGGCCAAGGCCAGCTCCAGCAAGGACCAAAATTTAAATGAGGATCCCTGGCCGAGGAAACCAAGATGCAAATCCGGAATGCATCCTTCTCAACCGCAGCTGCTGCGTAACACCCGGAAAGAGAAAACCCCCCACCAGGAAAAAAAGCCGGACTGGACTAAAAATTGGGGAAGAAATCCCGGGCAGGCAGCTGCTACGCCGGCATTTGCCACTCCCGACCTACCATGGTGCGAGCGAAGGGAGGAAGAGCAGAGAGATCGAGGGTGGCTGCACCAGCGCAGGGGCTGTGACGGCGGGGGTGCCTCCGCTGCTCCTGCTGCTGCTAAGGCGCGCTGTGCGCTGAGCCCTGTGCCGCCGCCTGCGCCGCCGCCCAACTGCGAGTAACGGCGCCGCGTCCGCGAGGCTCCCAACACCACTGCCGAAGTGCGAGCCTGCGCTCCGCGATATATATACGGCGCTCCGTATCCCTCCGCCGCGACCGCGGCCGCCTCGCTCAGAGCGACTCTGTGAGGGCCGGGCCTTGTCCGGTTGGCCCCGCCTCCCGACGCGCCCGCCGTCCCGCCGACCCCTGCGCGCCAGCTGCTGCGGGGCCAGGCCCGGGACCGGGACGCCAAGGGGTCGGGGAGAGCCACAGGGTCGCGGGGTAGGTGCGGCGGAGTCCCCGGAGTCTCCCCTC